CGCCGCCGGGTTCAGGGGCGGCCGGCCGCTGCACTGGCTCGGTAGCGCGCTCCGCTGCACTGTGGGCGCCGCCCGTGTGGGACCGCCGCCGGCCTTGGACGGGTCACAGCGCGGCCGGCGGACGGCGCGGTTCCAAGTTCCGCCGGCGGTTCCCAGCTCCACCCTCACCCGGCCCCAGCTCGGACCGACCCGCTCCACCCTAACCGGCCCAGCTCGGACCGACCCGCTCCACCCTAACCGGCCCAGCTCGGACCGACCCGCTCCACCCTAACCGGCCCAGCTCGGACCGACCCGCTCCACCCTAACCGGCCCAGCTCGGACCGACCCGCTCCACCCTAACCGGCCCAGCTCGGACCGACCCGCTCCACCCTAACCGGCCCAGCTCGGCGCTAAGCCGACCTTAGCCCGGAACTAACCTGCCCCATCTTAGAGAACCCGGTCACAGCTCGGACTTGTCCGTCCGTCGTCGGTCTGTTGAGTGCCCCTCAAAGTGTCCCCACTTCACGGTACGGAGTGCCCCCCCCCCTTCGGTGTGTCCCGCCCCCGGGTGGGGGTGGGCCGCGGTCCCCAGCGCGAATGTCGGCGCCCAGCCACACGCTGTCGTCTCATCACGAAGGCCGCCAACCTGCTCGCTCGGATACTATCAGCACCAGAGTTACGGCCGGCGCGGCGTCGGGCGCAAGCTTTTTGTCGGGTCGCGTGGACGGCTTTACGGCGGCAGGGGAGGGATGGCGGTCTCCCGTTTCGTCCGGGGCGGGGGAGGTGGTCCCCGCTCTCCGTGCGGCCCCCTCGAGCCGGTTCCACCCAACCCCTCCTCATCGGTGATCACGGCCTCACCTGCAGATCGCTCTTCCATTTGCAGCGCGATTTAACCGCAGGAGAAATGATGCAGCAGCGTTTGCGAACAGAGGCAGCTCTCACGCTACTTGGGTGATCAATGGCCTTGCATGCGGGCAAGGCGTGCGCGTTTAAACTCCGACGAAGGCGCTGATGATGTTTGAGCGAGAAGCTACGGCTGACTGTCGTCCGGCGGCGATTGGCCAAATTGGACGGCGACATTTGCGACTGCGGACATTACCAGCCGCTGATTTGAGGCAAAGTTGGCTGCGCGGCTCATCTCTTTCAGCCGCCCCTGCCTTTGTTCGTGTCGTCCAACTTGTCTCCGTCGTCGGTGACATTTGACAGATTACAAATTGACTAGTTATGATTCTCTAAGTAGCCAGAGTGCTTCGTTTAAAATGCACAACTTCTGAAGGATGAAATAACACGGTCGACATAATCGTATCATTAGAGTGTCACACGTGGGCAATTTGTTATCTTTAAAATGTCAATCTCATTAGCATATAGAGTAGGCTGAGGGCGCGCGGCCGCCGAGAGGCGAAGGGCCCGCCGCGAGAGCTCCGGCCGCGCCGCGTCACGGGCTGTCGGCGGTGACTCCGACGCGTGTTCCCGGCCAGAGGTCGGTGCCGTGTCGGCCGAGCTCGCTGCCCGGGCGGCGGGTCTCGTCCCATCAGCCCGGCCCCGGGGCGCCGGCGGCCGTCCCCGGCGCAGCCGTTGACCCTGCTGGTGGCCCGGGTCGGCCGGCCGACAAAAACACGGGGCTCCCGCGGCCGGCGCAGTGTTTGCGCGCCGCGGCCGCCTGTTTGCCCCTCTGCCGGCCGGCAAACGGCCTCCAGACGCGCTCGTTACGGCGGACTGGCTCTCGGTGCCGGCCCGGACGGACACCGGACAGGGAGCCGGCGTCAGGTGCCGGGACGCAAGGACGGACGGATACGGCACCGAATCAGGTGCCCAGCCAGAGACGGACGGTAGTCACTAGTGATGTCAATTACGGAAAATCGTGATACCGATACCAAACAAATATAGTACCAACAGGAACCGTGGGAAAATACCGAAACCGAACCGATTTGGTAATATCAGGGAAATGCCAAAATTTTTACCAAATTCACAGCCTCTTTTACATAGCAAGGATTCACAATATCAACAAAATACCAAATGTGTTAGCCTCGAAATACCAAATACCAAGTTGGTATCGGTTTGGTATCGGTATCCCAAAAAGTTGGCATCCGATTGACATCTCTAGTAGTGACCCACTGGTGTCGGATCAGGGACGGACGGCAGGCAAGCCGGTGTCAAATGCTCGGATCCACCCGGCTGGCAGTGGTGCCGGCGGCAGCCGAGGGATCAGCATTCAGCACTCAGCATTCAGCACCCGCCGACTGGCGTGCTTCCCGCAGGCAGTGCTGGCTGCCTCCAGCAGGCCGCCGAACCCCCGCTCGGCGGGCCGCTGGACCGGTGCCGGACAGCCTCGGCAGGCCGCCGGGCTACCTCGTAATGGGTGCCCTCTCGGGCCCGTGATATCACTTGTTTACCCGTCGCGAGTGGCCGATGGACGCCCAGCGTAAACAGGCGCGGCCGGGGGCACACGGGCCTCACCGCCGCGCCGGCGCGGGAGGCAGCACGCCACTTTTAGTCCCGAGCCGGTGTGTCCGGACGTTCCTCCGTCATATTGGGCGACGGTAGGTGGCAGACTGACGAATTATTTGACGGCGTATGTTAACCTTCATTACTGGCCGGCTTATACTGTAAGAAGCGTGTGCGGGTTCTCATTACAACTTGTTGAGGAAGGGGAGTGGCGTCATTACTTGATTGGTTCGGTCTGGATACCTGGAGATTGCGTATGGTCGGCACAGCGCTGTTCACTGCACATCAGGTCACAGACGTACCTCCGGGTCATTACCCTTCCCCTGAGTCGGCGACCGTGCCGCGGGACCCCTCCCCTGACCATCCTGCGCTCCTCCCTGTCCCCTTGCGGTGTCACGCCGGCGGCTGCAGGCACACCGCCGTCTTTATTTAAACCGGGCGTTTTTGTCGGTGTCGGCTTTCCTGCTGCCATTAGCGCTAATCCTTCCGTTAGTGTCGCTGCCGTCTGTGGGAAATGCCGCGGCTCTGACTGACGGTCGCCGTGTACCGCACGCCGCGGAGGTGCCAAGGGACGCCCTGCACCCACGCCGCGGAGGTGCTAAGCTGAGCGGGCGCCGGCGTCCCCGAAACTGAGGCCCCAGTGTGTCCATGATGCCGCGTTTATCGCCGGAGCCGGCGCGTTAGTGTGTGGATGATGGCACGCTGAGACCGGCTCGCCTGTCGTCGGTCCCCGGACGCCGAGCGGCGCGCTTCTAATTGCACCTTTATTTAGCTCTAACGGCTGCCGGCGAGGGACGGTCGGCCACGGCCGGCTCCGTTACCCGCGCACCTCCGAGGCCGGGCCGCCATTAAATCATTACGGAGCCAGCCTGCCCGGTCCGGCTACCCGCCGCACGCACCTGGCTAACAGCCCGGCTAATTGCCGTAATTGATTACTTGTCGCCTTTATGGTGCGCGCACTGCGGATGGACAGAGTGGGATCGCGCCAGGCCGGTTCATTCCAATCCGGCCGTGGGAGCGATGGTGTAGTTCAGCGCACGTCCCGGTGTGTGTCTGTGCGGGTGATTGTGGTGCACAGTGGACATTGGGCAGTGACGGTGTCTGCCGACACGGGACCCGGGTCGGGTCGCGGGCCGCGTCCTGCCGCACTCCGTGCGACTGACCCGGCGACGGCTCGGCGCCTCTGTTCTCGCCCGTCTGCCGGTGGCTGGCGGTCGGCTGCGGCCCGACCGGCGGCGCTGGCGGTGCGCTCCGATAGCAGACGACCCCGCCGGCACCGTCTCCGCCCGGTCTAGCAGCTGACATCAGCGGCGCTCTGCGGCCTCCCGAGCCGCCGGACACCTGAGAGGGTGACCCCAGGTCAGGGCTGGTGGGCGCCGCTCGTCCCTCGACAGTCAGCCGTTCGGCCAGACTGGCGTTATTGATACCGTCCGCCGCCAGACTCTGTCCCCGGCCAGCTGCCGCCGGCGTGCTCCAAATGTAGGTACTGAAGCCACGGCGGAGCGGAACCCGTCCTTCGCGAGGCTGCCGATGGAAGTCCTGGCCAACACCGCCCTCATTGACCTTGGGGGGCACGGATTCTGCGAGAGAACAGAATGGGAAATTAATTGGAAATCTGGTGCCATGAGGCGATGCCTACTACCAGTCGATTCAGTTTTTAGGGAAAATTTGCATCCGGTTTAGGACAAAGCTGGCTGACTTGTCAACAATGCGATCGCCGCGTTTCTACGAATCAAGTAGCACACTCGCTGATGATTCGTTTGATAATTGCCATTGTGTCTGTGTGTTGACGACGTAAAGGTTGGCACATTGTCTGTATTTGGACATATTCCTGACAACCATGTGTCTATTTTTCATCACCAGTCCACTGTTTGCTTCAGTCGCGTCTTCCACCTGAAGCCGACCTCTTGTTCACATACGTGTCCTATTTGCTTGGCTCGCTTGTGGAAATGCTCTGTAGGGGAGAGTGGGGCAAAGCGGCCACCCGGGGCAAAGCGGCCATCCATCGTTTTAGCCCTCCACAGCTGGCGTCAGTTCCAATTTATGATTTCCAATTATACTTCTCTTTGCGGTCGTTCGAATGAGCCAGACCGGGGTTTCAGGCCAAACGCCATTGTTCTGTGAAACACGGAAAAGCATTTCTTGCCAGGTTACCAATTATGTTTACAATTTTTAAATGTTATTTTATTCCATAACCGTTTGGAATTTTTATAAGCGTTTTTGTCCATGCATTGCGTGGTTATCGTACATGCCTTCTACCAATTTTAATGCTTTTTACCCCACTAATAGCTGAGCTGGAATATTTTTGTCTCGGACGGTATGCGCGGGGCAAAGCGGCCGGGGCAAAGTGGCCAGCCCCCAATTGGCCATAAGTTGTTTCCATCTGGATAAAAACATTATTTATATTCAAATGTGTCGTCATGCATTCATCTTGGCCACTTTTCGGTTACATGAGTTACCAAATTATGCAATTAAATTGTAGATGCAGATGGCCCCCGGCCACTGCTCGCGCCACCATCACCCGCATCTGCTCCCTGCCACCCCTCGGTCACCTGGCCACCTCAGAGACTTGGCCGTGGACAGATCTGTATTGGACCGCTCTGGATCCCGTCTTCGATCATTTGATTGTTACTGCAAACACATCCACACAATACGAGCTCGAGTCAAATACCAGTTGGCACGATGCAAAATGGGTCACAACACAGCTCGGGGTCCAAGAACTCTGTTTAACATTCTACAAGTAAGTAAATAAATCAAGCAATACACAGCAGACGTTGAGGTATCGAAATTCAAAGCAAAGATAGACAATGAGCATCTTTAGTGATAACATACCGGCTTATCCAGTCTCTGGCGCGCTGCCAAACGACCACGGCGACCGAACTCACGAGGCCACCAGGGCAGCCTCCACAAACAAGCTCCACAGCTTGTCCTCCCCGAATCGGGGGCAACCGAGCCACTGTCCCGGAGAATCGAACATATCAGCTCATATAAACCGGTTTTCACATTAAAGTTATACAACAAAACGAATATTCATCACATAAATTCAATTGAGAAGTTACAATACTAGATTCAGCAGTTACAAACCTCTAGAACCTCACTCACCGGTACCAAAATCCGGAGCACCCGCAACACATCCGCCTCCAATCATGGCGGGGAACGAAAAGACCGCCTTCCGCGCAGTCGGACTCGACATCAGAACCGGTCACGTGACTGCCAGCGCGGCATTCGAAATTCCGGAAAAACACAATATCCGCTTACAACCAGCACAATCGGTGCCCTACGAGATAGTACAAATATTCCAATGATATTTCAAAAGCAATTAATTAACAACGCCATCTAATTAATGAAAACACGCGCACTATATCCCTACGCACAAGCGTTCAGCGGCCCGCCGCTCCAACGCGCACTTCGGCTCCTAGAGCCGCCGGTTTTATCGGGAAACGAGCACGAAGGATATGTGAAACGGGTCGGAAGACGGACAAGCTGCAGGAAAGGATAGGATAGGACGGGCGCCATCTACACTCCCCCCTTCGAATGACTGAGGCATTCGAAGCACAGGAGCGCCCGTCAAGCTGACAACCTCTACAAACCTGACGATCCGTCCACGAAAAAAAAAAAAAATATTTATATATATATATATCTACCACCACACAACACTGAACCGATGAGCGTCCCGCTCACACTCTACCTATCCTACCTTACCGAGCCTTCCATGGGTACATACTTCAGGAACTGCGGACTGCTGCTGGTGAATTTAGTCATATTGAACGCTCCCGTGGCGCACAGCGCCTTCAGATCCCGTGCCAGATGCACAGCATCCTCAACGGAGTCCACAGCACACAGTGCGTCATCCACATATGTGTTGCGAATCAGAGCATCAGCGGCCTCCGGATAGCTCGATCTACCCTCCTCAGCGCACCGGCCCAGTGCGAAACTGGCGACACTCCCACTCGACACAGCTCCAAACACATGAGACCTCATTCGCCAGAGTTGCACATCTCCGTCCGGATCGTTGTCACGGAACCACAGGAACCTCAACATGCTCGTGTCCGACTCTGGTACATGCACCCTGTGGTACATGCTCTGAATGTCGCACGCAAAAGCGACCCGCCCCTCACGAAATCGACAGAGCACCCCCAGCAGGGAGTTCGTCAGAACAGGTCCCTTCCTCAGCAAGTCATTGAGACAGGTACCACCACTCTTAGCCGCGCAGTCAAATACCACGCGCAGCTTGCCCTTACCAGGCTCCCACACGCCATGGTGGGGGAGGTACCATACGGGACCTGTGACGTCATCGTCAGAGACTGGAACGGCGTACCCGTCATCGACCAGCGAGCTGATAACACGCCGGTACTGGTCAAAATACTCTGGGTCAGATCGGAACCGCCTCCGGAGTGAGTTCAACCGTCTGGCCGCCGTTCCGAAGCTGTCTGGCAGCTCTCCAAAATCGGTTTTGGGAAGGGGGATCTCAAAATGACCCTCCGAGTCCCGCCGGACGCCTGACTCGACGTCGGCTATCCACTCACGCTCCTCAAGGGAAAAACACTCACGGTCATCAGACAGGTCACCAAAGTCCCGCTCGTACATGGCTCGAAACTGACAGCCTTCCGAGCAGTGATCACGGACACTCTGGGTAATCCCATCATCAGAATCGGTCGCCCTCTCGACCCTCAGGAAGTTGACAGTCAGCCTGCCCCTCGAGACTGCTGTCCCAGGGACACGTCCGATCACATACCACCCCAACACGGTACGGATGGCACACAACCCCGCCTGGCCCTCAGGCGGAGCCCGGACCTCCCTGGCAAGAAGCAGTTCGGCACAGTTCGACCCAATCAGGATCCCCACAGGCGTGTCCACCTCTGTCAGCGCGACATCGGCGAGATGAGCGGCTGCCCTCAGCTCACTCCTCGGACACCTGTCCTCCTGAGTCACCGGCAGGGACGGAACGGTCATCAGAGGCGGCAGAGCATGGAAAGCTCCCCCTCTCGCATCGGCCACCTGCACGCCCGACGCGAGGCACGTCTGAATCCGCCTCTTCCCGCTCCCCACCGTCTCGAGCACAACACTCGTCTCCTCGGTCTGGAGTCCCAACAAGGAAACAAGTCCGTCAGTTAGGAAAGATCCCGAGGAGCCCTGGTCCAAAAATCCGTTAGTGACGACCACTTTGCCGTCTGGACCACGGAGGCGCACAGCCACGACCGGCAGCGCCGTCCGATCGACACCTTGGAGTCCAAGGCTCGCACTGATCACGGCTCCGCTGTGGGAACCCGACCCCTCACCGCCGGGAGGTGGCGCCACAAATCCACCACGAGGTGGCGCCACACCATCTCCGCGCGGCGGCACCACCGCCGCCTCGGGCCGCAACTCCCGGCCGCCGCCGGCACCACGCCGCGCCACCGGCGGCTGGGCGGAAACCGGAGGGGCAGCTGGAACACCACGAGCGTCACAGTCGGGGTCCCGGTGCATCACCGACGGGTGACGCCCACCGCAAGAGCGGCAAGTCAGCTGGCTCCTGCAAGAGCGGGCACGGTGACCCTCCCTGAGGCACCCGAAACAAAGCCCCGCTCGTAACACCGTCCGACGCCTCTCAGGCCAGGGCCTCTCAAACATCCGCTGGCACCTGTCCAGCTCATGGCGACCGTCACAAAAAGGACACAGCCCTGACCCCGCGCCCGGTCGTGTGACCCGAGCTGCGCTCACCTTAAACCCGGGAGAGGACCTGGACACAGCCTCACGGCGCGCGGGTTCGGCACTACGAGGACCGAACAGAGGATTCCGCTTTACACGGACCTCAGCGGACAGAAACCCGACCAGGTTCGACAGGCGCACGGTCGAGCCCTCCTGAAGGAGTCTATCTGCCTCTCTCATCCACCGATCCTGGAGGTACGAGGGCAGCTTCGACATGACAAGGCGCAAGTTCGTTGGATGATCAAATTCACTCAGTTCCACACTCTCCATCGCGTTCATGATCTCGGTCAAGAACAGAAGAAGCTGGTCCAGACTCTCAACATCGCCAGCGGCCACCTTAGGCCAGCCTCTCACCTGTTCGACATAGGAGTCGACCAGCCCCACACTGTTGCCGTAGCGAACCTCCAGGAGCCGCTTTGCCTCTGCAAAACCAGCCTCCCCCAGGTGGAGACACCCTCGCACGAGCTGGTTGGGCTTTCCCTTCGTATATTGATCGAGATAAAAAAGAAGCTCATCTGGGTCCTCAGTCTTTGTTTCAATACGGGCCTGGAACGATCTAGTAAATAAACGATAGTCTCTTATTTCGCCGCTGAACGGGCGGAGCTCTGCGGGGGGCAACAGGGACCGCTTGACCTGGGCACTGAGGGCCTCCCCCAGTGAGGGCTTACCCACCGGCTCGATCGGAACCTGCACCTGGGCCAACTCAGGCTCCACTAGGTGCCCTGCCTCTACCAACTCGCGTTCAAGTTTAAGCTGCTCCGACCTGGCCTGCAAAAGCGATTCGCGTGCCCTCACCGCCATCCGCTCCTGCTCTACGGCCTGTTCCTCCTTGAGGAGCTTAAGTTTCGCCAAAATAATCGATACATCTGTCGATGGCCCTCCAGTAGCTTCTCGGGGACTCACCTTATTCTCTGCCGGGTTTAACTGGTCCATCTCAGTCTCGAGGGCTGACCACAACCTATCCACTAAATCCTGCTTCTTACCGGTTACCTCCAGCCCACGGGTCTCTAATTCCCGTTGCAGCTCTGTCAGCTTCAACCTTCCCAACTCCTCCTTAGTAGGCGCCATTTCAGGGTGAGGGAATAGGAATCTGCACAGCGGGGATACCACAGACCTTCCACCCTCACTTATCTACTATCTAGACACTTAAAAACACTTCCCAGCACTGAGAGGATACCGCATTCCTCAGTAATCACTTAATCTAAACACCTTAACCTAGACACTTCCCAGCAATATAAAAACACACCACATAACACAATTTAAAACCAGCGCAGGACCACCACAGGATCACCCTTACCAGTCAACTCAGTCCAGCAGAAGCAGCAGGTAGCAGCAAACCTCAGACGGCCAGATCCTCCAGCTCCCAGCTCCGGCCGAACCAGGATGCCGGCACCAGGCAGCGAGGAGAGGCGGTCGCTGCTACTCAAGCAGATGCAGAGCTGAAGGTGCAGCTCCGCGAAAGATGTTTCCGCCAGAGGGGCACTCACCCGCTGGGAGCACCCTCTCAGCCCGTCCAGGGGCACACTACACTGCACGCACCAAGGGCGCGCACCACGCAGCGCCTCTCGCTGGCGCACACCACGCAGCGCCTCTCGCTGGCGCACACCACGCAGCGCCTCTCGCTGGCGCACACCACTCAGCGCCTCTCGCTGGCGCACACCACTCAGCGCCTCTCGCTGGCGCACACCACTCAGCGCCTCTCGCTGGCGCACACCACTCAGCGCCTCTCGCCGGCATACACCACGCAGCGCCTCTCGCCGGCGCACACCACTCTGCGCCAGCCAGCCGCACACCACTCCGCGCCAGCCAGCCACACACCACTCAGGCAGAATCCTGGAAGGCGCGGCGCGCAGCCGGTGCTGCAGCTCCAGAGGCAGATGAAGGCGCAGAGACTAAGCAGCAACTGTAGCTCCAGACGCAGCCGAAGGCGCAGAGAGGGAAGCCGCTACTGGGCTTCACCAGCAGATGAAGGCGCGGAGAAGGAAGCCGTAACTGTAGATGCAGATGGCCCCCGGCCACTGCTCGCGCCACCATCACCCGCATCTGCTCCCTGCCACCCCTCGGTCACCTGGCCACCTCAGAGACTTGGCCGTGGACAGATCTGTATTGGACCGCTCTGGATCCCGTCTTCGATCATTTGATTGTTACTGCAAACACATCCACACAATACGAGCTCGAGTCAAATACCAGTTGGCACGATGCAAAATGGGTCACAACACAGCTCGGGGTCCAAGAACTCTGTTTAACATTCTACAAGTAAGTAAATAAATCAAGCAATACACAGCAGACGTTGAGGTATCGAAATTCAAAGCAAAGATAGACAATGAGCATCTTTAGTGATAACATACCGGCTTATCCAGTCTCTGGCGCGCTGCCAAACGACCACGGCGACCGAACTCACGAGGCCACCAGGGCAGCCTCCACAAACAAGCTCCACAGCTTGTCCTCCCCGAATCGGGGGCAACCGAGCCACTGTCCCGGAGAATCGAACATATCAGCTCATATAAACCGGTTTTCACATTAAAGTTATACAACAAAACGAATATTCATCACATAAATTCAATTGAGAAGTTACAATACTAGATTCAGCAGTTACAAACCTCTAGAACCTCACTCACCGGTACCAAAATCCGGAGCACCCGCAACACATCCGCCTCCAATCATGGCGGGGAACGAAAAGACCGCCTTCCGCGCAGTCGGACTCGACATCAGAACCGGTCACGTGACTGCCAGCGCGGCATTCGAAATTCCGGAAAAACACAATATCCGCTTACAACCAGCACAATCGGTGCCCTACGAGATAGTACAAATATTCCAATGATATTTCAAAAGCAATTAATTAACAACGCCATCTAATTAATGAAAACACGCGCACTATATCCCTACGCACAAGCGTTCAGCGGCCCGCCGCTCCAACGCGCACTTCGGCTCCTAGAGCCGCCGGTTTTATCGGGAAACGAGCACGAAGGATATGTGAAACGGGTCGGAAGACGGACAAGCTGCAGGAAAGGATAGGATAGGACGGGCGCCATCTACATAAATGTTTTTCCAAGAAAATTCTTTCTTTGTTAAGCAATAGGTGGGAAGATAACAAAGTAAACATCCATCTTCCCTTAAACCTTGTCACCATCAAATACCCTAGTCGTGCATGAGGCAACTATTCTGTTTCTCATATCGGGACTTGAGAAGTCACCAGTGGCCGCTTTGCCTCAGGGATGGGGCAAAGTGGCCATTATGCTATAGGTTTAAAGTTTTGTCAATATCTCCCATATGTGAACGCCTTTGGAAATGAAACGCAGTTGGAATAAAAGAAAATTTAATAGGGATCACATTGGTATAGAAAGAATCTTTCCAAGTTTAAAAATCAAGCGTCGGCATCGTTAGAAACGTTAGGGTGGCCGCTTTGCCCCACTCTCCCCTACCTATAATGGTGACACCATAGGTTCATAGGTTTGCCCTTAACATCTCTGAGCTCACTGTTGATCATGTTCATTTTGTTGATGTTGTTGCTACGCATTCGCTAACCCATGCTACGCTCTGTGTGTTTGCAGTTCGGTACCGTTTCTGAATTTCGCCAAGATATCGTCGCCGTGGAACCCGACGGGGCCGGGCGGCCAGCCGCCGGCGCCCCCTGCCGGTACCGCCACCCCCACGGTGGCCGGTCACCCGCCGGTGCCGGCCGTCGGCGCCCCGGGCCTGACCGATACGCCGCCGGCCGCCCTCCTCAAAGACGAGCACCTCAAGATGACCGGCGACACGGGCAGCGTCACCTCCAACGAGGTCAGTACCCAACCAGGGGCTCCGCGGTGCTCCGGCCACCCGACGTACCGCTCGCGTTGCAGCCATGCTCCTGTTTGGCGCCGCGTGTTAGGTCGGCTGGCCGGTTCGGCCGCTCGGCGTTGGCTCGCCCTGGACCCGTGTCCAGCACTGCAGAGCTGCTGCGGCCGCTCTGTCGGTCCGATCCCGTCCCCCGGAGCTGTTCGTCTCGGCGTGTTACGTCAGGACGGGGCGCCGCTTCCCGGGACCCGGAGCGGGGCCGGCGGCGGAGCCGTGGGACGGCAGTGGGAGTCGCGGGACCCTGGGATAGCGTCCCGGAGTGTCCGCGGCAGCCGGAGCGAGTGTGCGGGACACGGACCGGACCGGACCGGGGCTGAGAGCCGGGGACAGCAGGACGCGGTGTGACGCGCCGGTTCAATGTGCGTGACCTGCGGCCGGCTGTGTTTGTCCCAATGCCCGTAATGAGAATGTCACGTCAGATTGGTACACACCAGGAAATGTCGGCCGCCGGCCGCTGCCGAGGCCGACCACCGTATCAGCTACATTTAAAAGTCAGTCGGCTGATGCAGGGAGGATTAATGTTGCCTGGGGTCGCAATAGTTATTTCATTTCAGGCCGGTGCACTTCAACACATGCTTTTTCGGCTCACGAAATGTCTTTTACTTCGTGACATGTTAGATTGGGCTCTGTGCTCGAGACGTTTCGATGTTCGCCCTCGATATCCGGGAAACTGACTCGAAAGACACGCGGATGGCTATAACTTTAGTCATGCTGAGTATGCTAGGCATTCAGGCTCTCGTCCGATCGGAATGCCCGGCTATTCGGCAGCCCCGGTCGCCATATAGATGTGAAGAAATGATTACTGGTGCCAGCCGAGTGCCGCGGCGCCTCAGCAGGATCGGTGCTCAGTGGGGGCCAGAGACGAGGGGGATGCACGCTTCCACCATGTTCAGAGGCAGTGGCGGACAGGGTCCGACCGTGACCGTGTACTGCGACGGTCCGCTCGGGGTATACCTATACTGCGACAGTCCGCCCGGGGTATATACTGCGACAATCCGCCCGGGGTATATACCTACTGCGACAATCCGCCCGGGGTATATGGTGCGACAATCCGCCCGGGGTATATGGTGCGACAGTCCGCCCGGGGTATATACTGCGACGGTCCGCCCGGGGTATACTCGTATACTGCGACAATCGGCCCGGGGTATATACTGCGACAATCCGCCAGGGGTATATACTGCGACGGTCCGCCAGGGGTATATACTGCAACAGTCCGCCCGGGATATATACTGCGACAATCGGCCCGGGATATATGGTGCGACACTTTGCCAGGGTATATACTGCGACAGTCCGCCAGGGTGTATACTGCGACTACGACTACTATACTGCAACGGTTCGCCCGGAATATAGACTGCGGCAGTCCGCCCGGGGTATATAGGTACTGCGATAGTCCGCCCGGGGTATACTCGTATGCTGCGAAAGTCTGCCAGGGCATATACCTACCTACCTACCTCGGCGCATGGGTGTTGGCAGTGAATTGCGGGCAAAGACACTGTCCTGGGACGGTCGGTCTCGAGCCACCCCAGTCGCCGGCCGAGGGCCACTGCTGCGGAGCCCGCCAGGACACCAGCGCGCGGCGATTCTGGTAAGTCGCCGCTCCGGCCTGGGCCGCGGCGGTGACGGCTGCGTCAGGTTTGATTCGCGCGCCGACCGCCAACAGATCAATGACGCTGCGCCATGCGGGAATAATGAAGGCCAACAATTAAATTCTCATGGATTCGGAGTAGGTGAAAACAAAACGGCGCCATGCATGAAATATGAGGGCCATTATGAAATCGATCGATGATTTAGGACAGAAGAGAAGAAGCATGGTTTATCGACTCGCGCTGATTACACATTGTGAGCGGAGCGGGCGGGGCGGCGCGCGGGGAGCTCGGAGCCCAGCACGGACCGCCAGGTTGTCAGCAGGGCAGTGAGAGCGTCTTCACCGGGCTGGTACGGTGACCCGCCTCTGACACTCATTGACCAGTACCGGATGGGTGTCTGGCTCCCTGGCCGGTACCGGGTGTCTGGTCTGCTGTCTAGAGGAGTAAACACCCGTCCAGGATGCGCCCCGCATCTGGACGGTAAATCTGGCGGCCCCGCTTTGGGCGGCCAATTAGTGGCGGCGACCCCGACGCCGAGTTGGCGGCCAGCGACGACGCTCCCCAAAGGGCGTATTAAGTTTCGTCAACATGTAAATTTGTTCGCAGAAGACGGCGCATTAAGCCCTTTTTGTGTGGGGATAGATAAGAATGGAGATCGCAAAAGTTAAGCACGCCACATGTCATGTCCTGGCAGCATTAATCCGTACCCCGGTGACAGTGTGTAATTTTGTTATTTTTCTTCCGACTTTGTTACCTTTCACTGCGAGTGTCCTCGCCGCTGAACGCAGACACACGGGCGGGTGGTGTTTGTACGTGCTGCCCAGTGCACACCGCACGTCGTGTGCCGACGAGCCGGGCCGAGGCCGGT